TATTGAGGTGGATTCAATAATTTGTATTATTATTTATAGTTTATTATATATTACAATTAATTATAAATAAAGTTGAATATTTTTGATTTTAATTTATTTACTATATTTATTATAATTGTTTAAACATTTATAAAATTAATTATTTGTTAATATTTTAATAAATAATTGTTAATTAAATGAACAATTATTATTATTATAATTATTATTAATAAATTTTAGGTTTTTTTAATTAACATAATATTTTGAATAACAAAAAAAAAATGATTTTTACGTGTTTTATTGATTACTATTTTTTAAATATCCTCATTCTAGATATTATTTGGTTATTATACATTTTTTAATAAAATATATTATTTAAATATAATATTTTTAATTATAATTAAAATTATAAAAAAGTTGAAGTTCACTGCACAATTTATTGAAATAAAAAGTCGGCTTTTTTACGATTTTTGAATTCTCAACTTAACATTTTTGTTCTTAATGCAAAAAAAGATATTATGTCACATCAATAATTAAATTATTAAATACTAATAGTTATAAATAATATAAAAATGATTAAAAAACAAGAAATGCTTTGATGAACACATTACTCCGTACCAGAGCGGCAAAATAACTAAAATACCCTTGTAGAATAAAAAAGAAATGACAAACTTTTAACTTATCAAAGACTGTCTATAAAAAGCATATAAAGAACTTAAAGGATCTCCTTCCCTCTATATTTCCCAGAATGACCGGGCAAGGTTTTAAACATCAAAAAAAGGAAAAAGGATATTTGCCATTTATATTTCATAAACGAACTTTAATTGACCTAAAGTCGGTTATACAAATAATAAAACTATAATAGATATAAAAAGTATTATAAATTATAATACGTTTTGAGTAGTGTAGTTTTGTTAACCACAAATGAAAAAGGCCCAAATGATGTCAAAAGTACGAGTGAAAAGGAATAAATTCAAAAGGTCTGATTTTAGAAATAAACAGAACGTTTTCAAAGATGTTGAAATGTGGAGTATTCTGGTCTTCATTTGAGGCAAAGAGCAAAAAATGAAAGTTTAAACTGAGAAATCTCATGAGTCGTCCATCACCATTGAAGAGATCAAAATGTTTTATGCTCTCCCCTTGTGTAGTTGAAGACCAAGGGACTCTTTGTCTCACACAAGATACTAATAAGGGTTACGACAATTTCATTTTCTCGTGCAAACTCCCCGAGTGCCAAGTCGACGTCAACGCGGAAAACGTAACTCAAATCCTCGATGAACCAGAAAGCATGTTTACCTTTGAAATGTGATTTCAACACCTTCCACCTTGTGTATTTTCAACCCATTTTTTATTCATTTCTGTTAATTCATCTCTATCATTCGTCGGTATAAGTTTTTTATTACATTTTACTATACTTATTTGATACAGTTTTATTCTTTACGAATTACGGCAACGATAATGTATTGTATCATTATAATTATTTAACTATTGTTTTTTGGTACATCGTGCTGAAATAAAATTCAATGAAAAGTCAAACCAAACCAATAATTGTGTTATTTGCCGAGAATAAAAAGTAAATCAAATTTATAGTTTTTTTATCTAATTAATTTTCTATTTTTTTTTTGTGATAAAAAAAGAGAAAAAAGGGTGAAAAGTTTGTTTGTTTTTTATTACTTCAAGAAATTTTCTCGTATGAAAATTCCACAAAAAAAAACTAATGAAGTTTTATTTGTTGGCACAATTGTTTTTATTATACCAAATTAGATATTAATTATAAAAATAACTAAAAACATTAGAAAAAAAATCATAATTAAAAAAACTAAAAAATCAATAAAAAAATCGAAATAATTATTTTCAAAAATTCGTCTGACTTTTTTTTGCTGCTTAACATCCCATTTTTTTACACATATAACAGCAAAAGAAAAATAATAGGGTTTGTAAGATTTTTCTCTTCACATTTTTTCCTGAAATTCACCACCAACATTTTCTGAGTAATCGTTTGATTTTTGTACTGAACGTTCGACGCGAGAGAAAAAGAAGTTGAGAACAATTCCCTTCAAAAAGCTTTTTTTACCTTCATTTTTTACTCGTAAAAATTCCGAACGAAACTTCGTTGTTTACACCAAAAACATGCGAATTGACGGGATATTTCGTTTTTAATGCGACCTTCCTTGACTTCCGAAAAGTTTTTTTTATTCATGAAATATCTTACCCATTTTTACTACAAAATAATAATTCAAATAACTATAAATAATAGTAAGTAAAGTAAGTAAAAGAAAGACTATTTAGAGAGTATAAAATACGACTCTGGATAAAGGCCTTTGGTGTCCTATTTAAATATCTGTCAACTGTTAATTTCACAAAGTCAAATGAGTGCCTTCACCCCAGTGAATAAAGAACTCTACAGTGTCATTGAGTCAATCATCATGAACGAATTTGTGGTGTCACGAACACCATCTTCTGAAGTATGCTGCAAGTCTCCAAAGCCAGTCAAAGTGATTCCAATGAAACTTAAAAGACGAGAAAAGAAGTACTGGTCACCTGAACAAAAGAAAATAGCCATTTCAAGAGCAAGTGTTTTAGGTCTTTCCAAAGCAACACGGATGCTCCAAAATGAGATGCCCAGTATTTTTGGTGATCTTTCACCATCGACTTTACAGTATTGGGTACAAAAACAAAGAACGGAACATAACATGTGTTAACGACTCTACACCCTTCATATTAAATTAATGTACTTTACTCGTTTTGTTTCAAAATTTAAACATCAAATAAATTGGTTATAAGAACTCCTTCACTAATTCAACAAACACTTGAAGACCATCGCCTTCCATGGAGTGGTTGTCAGCTACAGTTTTCATCGTAAAATTGGTATTTGACGCACATATTCTCTTCATTAAAAGTGCATACTCTTCCGATGAATATGGCACGTATTGATCTTGCGTAGCAAAAACTAACAACACGGGAATTTGAATACATTGGAAAATGTTACTGAACTCTTCATTAGTAATATCCGTCGAAAAAAAGTCCTCATATCCACCTTGTGCAAACAGCGAAATGAATCTCCTCTCCATTAACATGATGTTTTCTGCGTATTTCTCATTCGAGGCGTCAGTCAGTGAATTGACGTTTGGTAAGGAAGATAACTCTTTTTCACTCTTCGCATTGTACTTCTTCATCAAACGACCAACTTCTTCGTTAATCCCATGAAAAGTTCTTCCAAAGTCTCTGTCACTCACAGGACATTGTAACACGCATTTTACAACTGGATACTTCTTATCCAAAGACTGACGCAAACATGCTACAACATCTTGACACCCCGTCGAGTGTCCAATCAACACAATTCGCTCGACTTTTTGCTTCTTCTTTAAATCCTCAATGATCGCAGTGATATCCTCGACATCGTCGTCGATTGTATATATCCCAAATCCACATCCAGTACTTCTCAATTGTACAGTACACACCGTATACTTATTGCATAGGGTTCTCTGGATTTCTCGAAAGCAATTGTGATTAAATAAGTTGTGCATCAATCCACCAATTAGTAGCACAACACAAGAGCCATTTCCTTTTTTGAAGTACCCAACTTCAAATGTGACTTGAACAAGTATACCCTCGTCTTCCATACTTATAGTTTCAAAGTGTTTCAAGTTCTACTTCGTTTGTTTTTTGTACTATAAATAAGTTATTAAAAAACTAAAAACAAGAGTGTTTGAATAATCTATTATATCGGAACATACTCAATGTAAAAAACAATAATAATAAATGAAAGTGACTCAAATAGATTCCGTTATAAAACAGAGAGTCAATTTTATAAACAAATAACGTCAAAGCACATATTTATCAACAGTTAGAAACAAGCCCAGACACATTTTTACATTGCTGGTCAAAATAACTCCCACATATTCCACAAAAACTTTGTTGTTGTGTCGAAGCTCTACAATACCCACAAGAGTTCAAACTACACACGCCAGGATCAGAGTTCAATGCACAACTCTTAAAATACAGTGTAGGAAAATCAAGTAATACAATCCCATTGCATTCCAAGGACACTTTTACTTCCGAATCACTAAACCCCCCAGTCGGCTTTCCAGCTAACACGGGGACGGGTAAAGAAAAGAGTCTTTGTGACGTCTCAAAATGAAGTCCAGCGGGGAGATCTGGTTCCGTTGTTATAGAAGGACTAAAACAGTTCCACGACACCTTTGGCATTTCGACTTGTGTGACTTCTACGTTCTCTGTTATGTGGATGACGTACTTCGACTCATCACCAAAATCCTTTTTGCCTTCATAAAAAGCTATTATGTTATTATAATTTTATTATTATTATTATTATTAAACAAACGTTGGTAGATAGTACACAACACAAGACTTCCTATGGCACATGCTTGGAACACTAAGAGAACAATTAATGAGTATTGATAGGGGATCCCAAACCTCGACCCCCCTTTGTTAACAAAATAGCACACAACAAGCACCGCCATTGCAGCAATTATATACACAACAAATGCAAGAAAGACGTTACTTCCAATAAGTATTGAAAAGATGACCATTGTGAAAAACAACGAAAATGTGATGTACCACGTGATGTACTGTGACATCGTCCATTTAAAGTTTCTGTTCTGTTTGAGTGGGAAAAACGCTCTTTTTGACATCAAAAATTTGACTGCCTCCTTCCTGTTAATGAAGACGAAGATCCAAAGCGTCACGGAGAGGACGACAGACGCACACATCAAGAAGTACATTGACGGAAAGACTATTGGCAAGATGATCGACAAGATGGAGCTGAACAAACATGCGAATATCAAGAATGAGACGGGTCCGAAGATGTGCATAGTCTTAGACTTCCATTGCTCGAATTTAGAGCTTTCCTCCTTTTGCAAGTTCTTACAATCTGCTTCAAAGAGTAATTTCTCGAGTCTGTTAATAGCACTGTCAACACGAAGAGATACACCAGTCAACTCTTGATCGTTTTTCATCCCTTCTGCATTCCGATTGATCTCTTTTAAAGCTTCTACTAAGATGGGGATGACCCCAATGTAGTCGACACTCATATTCCCATCGCGATCCCGTTTGACCAAGTCGGGATAGATCGACTCGATTTCTTGCGCTACGAACCCATATTTTTTGTCGGTCGGATTGTTCTTGTACGCGTACGACACCCCGTCAAGGGATAATACTCCACTCAATGCAGAATGAATCTCTTCGATATCAGTTTTGGCACGGGCGTCCGACCGGACTAGAAATCCATTTTCAGCAAAGACCTCTCCTAAGACGTGTAACTGTCGCAAATTTTCATTGATCTTTTCGATCTTAACGAAATCCTCGAAGGAGTAGTGGCCCGTTTGTTGTTGTGACATTTCGACTTCTGGGATTGGGTGAGGCGGTTGTGGAAGAACATTTTGTCGTGTTGCGTTTTCGAAATTCTGTTGCATCTGCTGTTGTACGTTTTGTTGCATTCGCGTGATTTGTGTGTGTTGTGGACATTTTGGGCGGTCGAGAGGCGAATTTGGGGGAATTTGTGGTTCCATTTGAATGGCATATTCATTATTCATCTCATTGGAGTGGTCAAAGCCAATAACACTATTTGAAGAGGAATTGGTGTGAATGTGATTAATGTCGGAATTTTGGTCGGACGTGTTTTGCTCAAAAGCAAATGGAAAATTGTCGGGTTTGGGTTTCGTTTTTGGAGTGATTTTGTCGACCAATTTCACCATGTACGGCTCACATAATTGTTTTATTATTTCTTTTTGGGGCGAATCTTTGAAAGTTGTCAAAACTAAGTTGTGGGGATTATTCCCCGGTTTCCCAATTTCTGTTCTTAAATGACTGTCCCATATGTGGCTGGTTACCTTGTCATTAATTCAATGTTTTGAATTTATTTAATTATTACCGTTAAAAGAACAAACGTTGTATTTCGTTTTTGGAGGATCTGTGCAATGAGGGTATGTGCATTTCCAATTTTTCTTCCGAAAGCGCCGGGTTCTAGGAATGTCACTGGAAGATACCAAAACTAAATTACCAACACTAGGAACTTCGTTATTCATCAAGAATTTTTTTTTGATTTTTTGATTATTGAGTTTTGGGGGGTTTGTTCTTGGTCTATTTTAAGATGTGTTCTAATATGGTTATTCTTATTTGATTTAATTTATAAAATAATTCATTATCATTGTTTTGCAATTTCATTTTAGTTAAAAAACTAATGTGTATAACAATTTTCTTTTTTTAAAACAAATTTCCATGAAGTTTTTCTTGGTGAAAACTTGTTTTTATTGTAAACACACATAATAAAAAAATCATGTTTTTTTCATTTTTTTGAATAATGAAAAGTATCAAATTATAATATTATTTTTAATAAAATAATGATTAATTTAACTTGAAAGATCTGGTATCATTTTAATATTTCTAATTATTTTACAAAAATGTTTTATAAAACATTTTAACAATTTTTTATCCTATAAATAAAAAATAAACGCAAATAATGATTTTTAAAGATATAAAATAAATATAATAAAAAAATAATATTACTTAACTAAAATTAATGAATGAATTATTAATTATGATTTCTAATTAAACTTTATTATTTACGAGTAAAAACACATTTTTACTAAATTTTATAATTATTTTTATTAAACTTTTACCAATAAAAAATTTCAATATTTCACAAAAAGTCGAAACTTATTCGTCAAAAATGTAAATATAGTAATACTATAAATCAAATTAAATAATCAATTATAATTATCAAACTAAAAAATCTAATGGATCCTGAACAACACGAAATCCGATTCACATGCTATTGTACTCTTTGTAAAAAGTCACAGTTTTTCTCCGTTGCCAATCCAAAGATGAAAACAACGCGTCTCTCTATTCTTATCTTACGTTCGTTGCATTGTCTGAATCCACAAAAAGACTTTTTTTCATTGAAAACGGACATATACAACTTTATCACAGACCACTGGAACTTACTCGGGAAGTTAAAGCTATGTTTGTTATCACTGAGGTTGCCACATTTAATCACAACAAATAACTAATAGTCCAATCAGTGAATTGGAAGAAGAACATACTCGATGCATTTAATCATTGTTCACAAATTGAGAGCGGGTTAGAGTCGTCAAAGGGGAGAGGGTTTTATCGCCTGAAAAAGGAGGACGAGCAAGAAGACAAAGCGACAAAAGTGGAGTTGTTACGGGAACTCTACGAGAAGTATGACGAGCTTGAAGTGGAGGTGAGAAAGTCTCTTCATAAGTTGTGTTTGTATAACATCAAAAATGGTCTTCAGGAACTCGAGGGGAAACTTACACTTCTCGACGTCGTCGACAGACAGCTTGCTTTTACAAAACATATCGGAACAATGAGGTGCGAGTTGTGCAATTTGAGATAAAGTCAAGATGGGCTTTTGTGTATTTTGTGTGGATTGATGTTACTTTCTTTTAGTTTACTGTCTTTTATGGGTTGTTCTATTTAACGAGTTAATATTTATATTTTTTTGTTTATGTTATCATACAAATAATTAACGAGTTGGTCAATTTGAAGAAGAATAAATGTAAACTAAAAATGAATTAAAAAGTCGTTTTATATTCATTAACAAGTATAGTAATAATATCAAATTTCAATTTTAAAATTTTAGTTTTTGAATTGATGTTTAACATCAATAAAAATACACAAATATCAAATGGTTTTATTGATTATATAATTAAACTAAATATATTGTTTAATAGTCCATAAAAGATCATAAACCCATATAACCGTTGAATGTTATTTTACTGGGATGAGTGCATAAGAGTCTTGATTTTGATATTATAAACTCTAATTATAATTCAACAACTCATAAATATAACTTTCAAAATAAAATTAAATAATAATTATTTCATATCATTTTTATGTTTAAATTGTTCTAATTGTATAAAGGTTTTAATAATTAGAATAGTTAGAACTGTTGTTATACAGAACTAATAGAGTTTGTTGTAAAAAGTTGTCCCAGTCGCCGACGTTGTCCTTTTTATCGATTTATACACAAATAGTTGTTTAAAACCCCGGGAATTAAATAAAATTTGAAAAAAATGGAAAAAATTTGGGAAAAAAACTGAAACGACGATTTTTTTATATTTCGAACCTGATCCCGATATTTCCATTGACCAAAAAGCCCAGGACAACGTTTTCCGACTAACTCTATTTAGAATAATTTATTTGTAAAATAATTATATTCTAATAAATAACATTGAAAAACATTACAAATTTTTAGGTTTTAAAAATAATAAAAAGGTGTTTTTTTATTTAAACCACAAATTATACCTTTTTTGTTTAGTAAATTTAAAATAAACAAGTTATTAATAAACCAGTTTTGAAAATGACCTTTTTGATAATAACTGAATACCAATAAGATAGACGGTTTGTTGGCTTTTTCATTTCAGTTTCTGTTATTAAAAAGAAACTGTTTTGAAAATCAGTGATAAAATACAAATCACTTAAAGTTCTTTAAAAAGAGCCTCAAATCTCCTTGGTGTAACGTGAAGTTATTGCTCTTATCCATTACGGAAACTATCTTAGTATTAATAGCAGAACCAAAGTTTTCTATATCAACAGTATTATAAAGCAACGTATTTTTGAAATATATGGAGAGAAGAGTATCGTATTTGTCATTGTTTTTGCCAGTCGACTGTTTCACATTAAAAAGGTATCCGCTTAAGAACAGAAGGTCTGTTAAAGCATGCAGACATTCGGTAAATTTGAAATTGTCCATTCTCCTTACTGCAGTCTTTTCGGGGATGCCATTATTCATTTCTGCTAAAATTTTCTCCTCTCTCCTTCGCATAATTAATTCATCGAAATTTATTGTTTGTTGGTTGTTGAAAGTGATGCTTTTGATGTTTAAAAATTGAAGAGTTGAAGATGTCTTTTTTGGTGGTTTTGAAATTACAATTTCACTACTTTGGTTTAAAAGACCAAGTAAAATCGCTTGTTGTTCTGCTTGATAGTTTCGTAAAACTTTATACTTCGCATTTGAAAAACTTGTACCTTTTTCTTCCGAACTTCTTGTGTATAATTTCATATTTTGTTTGTTTGTATTGTATACCCTATTCCCAAGAGACATCTTTAAATAAGGAGTTCACTCAACCACCCTTATTATTAAAATGAACTGAAATAGTATTCTACGAGTATAATTCAGACTGGTTGTGTTTTAAAGAAAAAAAACATGCAAGAACAAAAGAAGCATATTTTATTATCCACGCATTTACCAAAATACTTAAAATGCATAAATAATATAACAAAACTATGTTTTCTAATTAGTATTATAATATTTAATATATTTTTTTTGAAGTTGTTGAAAACTAAAACTAAACAAACTCGGCATTTAAAAAGAAGTGGTGAATCTTAATATAATTTGTGTTAGTATCACATAATAATAAATATAATAATTTGGGTATTGATTATTAATTCTAAAGGACTAAAAAGTAATGATGAAATTGCTAAAAAAAATCTAAATTAAAACTCAAATCACAGTTAAGTAATCTATTTTTATAATAAAGCAATTTTTTGTTGATTCAAAAACAAAAATTCCAACATGGCTATTTTTGAGTAAATCCCATTTTGTTTGGGCGTCTAAGACTTTTTTAATTTGTCAACGAAGACACAATTTATTAAAAAATTGATTGGGAGATTATGAATTCTAGATGGTGATTGTCTCTTTTTATTGCTTTTATCAGTAGAATGAATAGTTGATATGTTTTAAATTGAAGATAATTAAATGAAAATTTTTTGAAAACAAATCAATTGTTTTCCTTCTTTATGTGATACAACTGTGTGTAAATAAATCAACTTTTTGTGTATTGTTAAAAAGTGTTCAACACTAATAACATTTTTGACAATGAAATCAATTAAAAATGATATATTGCTTTTTAAACATCAAGTTCAATTAAAAAGATTTCACCTACAATTAAATGAGTATAAAAATTGCCTAAGAAAGTTGAGACGGTTTAAATTTTCATTTATACAATACCATTAAGATGTTAAAAAGATATCCCTTTTCAAACTTCTTTTGATACATTATTTGTTAAAAATTATTATATCAATCAATTCTAAAACATAAAATGAATTTAAAATAAGCATCAAAAAAATATTTTTAATTTGTACTATGTTATTAAAGACCGTTATTTGAACATTAAAACCGTTTTGTGTGATGTTCTGAATCATGATTGAGGTAATATATAAAATATTTAAAATATTTAAATTGAAATTATATATTAACTCTCGTATTATTATAAACTCATGATAATATAAAAATTTTAATAACGATTTTTTTGTTTTAAATAAATAATGTTGTAATAATTATAGATTATCGTAACATCATTTAGATTATATAATAAACATATTGTTTTACAAAATGAAATTATTTTTTAATATTTCTAATTAATTATTATTATTTATTAACAAATAAATAATGAAAATTGATTATTTGTATTTATATGTAGAAGTAAATAAAAAAAGAAATATATTATTATTTATGTTATTTACATAATTTATTTTCGACTAATAAATAATTAATAAATTAATAATTAAATAATAACTTATCAAAATAATAATGATGCAATCTTAAAAAAAAATTTTGAAAATAAATCATTTACAAATTATCTTTCAATAATAAAATTAATAAAAAAAATATTAAAAATTTATAATAAAATACTAAATGTAGAAACTTTCATTAAAAAAAATGAATTTAAAAATATATAAATCATTCGATTATAACACAAAAAATACACTATAAAAGAGGAGTTAAAAGAACTTAAAAAATTAATGGAAAATTATTTGAATGAAGTTAAAGCACTTTGCGAAAGTGTTCAACCCGCCTTGGAAGATTATTCCAACAAACTTAATGCAGCAAATGAAGCATTTGTTCAAACTTTAAGCTCAATAGCAACTTCTTTGAAGTGTTTATCAGAAACATCATATGCTATATACAGTGCGAATAATACTGCGCATCAACCAGACAATTCACAAGAGATTGCGGCTCTCAAACAAGAAAATCAATCCCTTCGCACTCAGCTTGAAGAGTTAAAAACGGTAGTTTTATCACTCAAAGAAAACAAAGAAACTTCTATGAGGAGTAGCGCTGGTCATCAACACAGTCCTTCCGTCCCTCAATCGTATTCTTATACTCCAAAGTCAAGTATAGTTCCTACTATCCCCACTTATTCCAATCCAATGTCACAACCATCTACAACCATCCCTTATCAAGTACAACAACCTATCATAAACGTTGCCCAACCCAACACCAAATCTATTCCAACGACCAATCCCTTCACCAATCAACCACAACAAATTTCAAGTATGCAATTCACTCCAGGTGTTTTATCCGTCCCACAACAGCCGAGCATTTCCATCGAACCAAAAGTGGTCAACAAAATGCAACCAACTTCAACCATCAAATCATCGAACACTTCAAAACCACAAATTGGTAGTTTTGAACCAAACTAAGTTTATTTTTGTTTGAAATTCCTTAGTTGTGCAGATGACAAATAATAGAATAAAAGAACTAGAATTGTATTATAAAGAATATACTATCAAGTAATTAGTAATAAACTAGAATTATCAATCAGTTAAAAGTTCATCCATTAACTAGAATATATCTAGAGATTAAAGTTGGGATATTACAAAGGACCACATCGAAAAGGTCGGTGTTGTTGAGTAAGTCATAGAGTGGTAAGGAGTTCAAGGAGACCGAATCTAAGACCCCGAATTTACAGGACTCCTTCATGTGGATCATATACACTTTAATGATCTCTTTAGGAAGAGTGACGTGTGGAGGGATGTATGGGTATAAATACTTGTCGTAATTGATTCGATAGAACACGCCAAGTAACTCTCCGATGTCGTAGTGAATGCCATACTCGAGATTCAACTTGTCCCGCATTTTGCGCTTCAAACCCTCTACCGGGTCGTCCTCTCCCACTTTCAATTTCCCGCCTATTAATTGACTCTCTGCAGTCGCTGTTGATCCTTTGGAGGGTTGGAGTGTTAAAAGACATGGAAATCCCATGTTATTGACTAAGATGACGCCATAGACACAGACGCGTGAGACGTGGTTTTTCTCTACAAACTCGCGTAACACGTCCATTCGATGGTGTGATGACTGTAACTTGATTTTCGATGTGTCTGGTTGTGTGATAATCTTATAATTGGTGATCGGGTATATTTTAAGACGGGCCTCGCCAACTCTCGTCGGAAGCTCTTCTTTTTTCTCTACCACTTTCTCCTCTTTTTCTTCTTTCTTGTCCACTGGATTTTCAGAAATCATCGGTTGCGGGGTTTCCTCATCCATCGCAACTGCTTCTTGTGGGATTTGTGGTGCAGCCAAAGGCTCGGAAATTGTGTTGTTAGGCTTCACTTCTTCCATTGTAAATGATTTATTTCGAGTTCCTTTATCTGCGATGTTAAAATGTTATTTAAAATGTTTTTTTGATAGTAATAAAAATGTTATTAAAAATAAAAACTCATTTAATTTATAGTTTATTTAACTATATAATTATAACTATGCAATTCGTTGCAAATTGTCCATTATACGAATAACATATAACTTCTGAAGAATAAGGAAAAGATAACCCTATTTTTGAACATCAAAAACAGAAAATGGATAACGTGACAAGTAGCTCGATCTTCTTTCTTCAACAGCACAAAGAACAATTGAAGGCGCTGGGAATACCAAATAACCTTTTAACACTTTTGTTCCATAAATTGGACTCGGGAATTTTTGACGCCGGCGACTATTTTCAGTTCTGCGAAATACCTGATGAGTTCTTCCCAAAAAATGGGCGCAAAAACCCGTATGGACTTGTTTGTAAAAAGGAAGAGGGTTTGAAAATGAATAGCAACATATTTGTGATTGACCACGACTTTACAGCAAACAAAGAAGATATCATGCAGACGATTTCAACGGTTCCACAGTTGTTGGCGGAGTATGAAGAGAATTTTGGATTGAACACGGAAGGGAAAAGCCCACTTGAACGCATTGAGCAGTTTTATAAAGTCCAGTGGGAGTATAACTTCCCATTAAGATTATTAAACAAAGACACAAAAGAAGAGGAACTTGCGTGGTATTTAGTCGATAATGTTGGCAATTCGATTATTTATTCGAAAACAGGGAACTGCAAATTAGTGCCGTTTTTCTTTATGCCCCATGAAAAGTTCTACACTTTACTGTTTCCTATTAAAGACATTGAATACGCACATTTGATCACTTCAGACTACTTGTCACCACTCCAATTGTTGGAAGACTTTTATAATGTTATTCCACTGAGAAACAGATTTGCTGAAGCACACCACGAAGTCATTTCCTTTGTCGAGGAGAGAAAGTCACACGTCCCAAATCAAAGTGATGAACCTTACAATTTGGAACTCGTTCAACAAGAATATAAAACGGCGCCTTATCGTATTTTCACACATAACAATTTACTCAAAGAAAAAATGACAATAGACATCTTCAAGTTTGCAGAAGACATCGACAACGCAGACTTTTTGATGTTCGACAACACACTCGAGAACGAAGATTTCGAGACAATAAAAGGAACACACGCTTGGGTCAACCAAGTACAGGCACAGGACAAGTTCTTGTCGAGCGCAGAACTCACTTTAATCCTTCGAAAGTACTACGGCGAGAAGTTCGAAGAAATGCTCGAACCCACGTACGACTTGTCAAAGCCCGAAAGCTGTGCGTCGTACGTCGAGAAGTACTTTTTATCGGAAGAAGAAGGAAAACCAAATTATTGGGTAGTTCGCCCCGTGTTGAGAAAACACCAAAAATGCTTTGGACTCTTTGATGATATCACGCCCGTTATTAAAATTGGGAATAGTGTACCCGTCACGGTGTGTCAGTTGAGCCCAAAGCCTTTGCTTGTGAATAACAAGAAATTTGATTTCACTGTGACGATTCTGGTGAAGTACGACGAGATGTGGGAAAGTAAAAAGGTCGACGTGTACATGTGTGACAATTTTGTTGTCCGAGTTGCACAGAAAGAGTTTTCTATGAAGAACCTTTGGGACTACGAAGCACTTTTCACACAAATAAACTGTGGGAATGGTATCGTGAGTGTGGACTCCACAGAGTTTGAGGAAGTGTATAAAAAGGAACACGAAAAACTGTGTGGATGGAACGAATTGTTGCAGAGAATGAGAAACAACTTGGGTCACATTTTCAACGCTATGGTCAAGTCGAATGTATTGACACCTGAAGTAAGCTCCTGCGCACTGTACAGCGTTGATTTTGAGGTTGACGACCAATTCCACACACGGGCTAAAGAGTTTTATCTGCACACCGATTATTCTAAAGACATCGAAAGAGATGACCAGTTTTTGAACAACGTGTTCTCGACTGCCTTCTTGGAGTCTAAGGACTTCAAACAAGTTTATTGATTTTGACTTAAATTTTTTATTTTGGTTGTTTTTAAAAAGTTGAATTCTTTCCTTGCTTACAATTTGTTTATTGAAGACAGGACTGATATGTACATATGCCAAGTCTATTTATGGTGTAATCCATGTCATCATTAGACACTTTATGGTAATGTGTATAACTCACCAAAAAATATCTATTTTTACGATGTCCTCTACACATGCAGTTGTTGAATAGTATTTTTATTATAAAAATGGTAAAACACATTTAGAAAAATGTGACGTGCCAGTTTTTAAATGTGTTGTGAGTAACTGAAAAAGTTAGACGTTGTTGTCATGGGGACGCTGTTGTTATTATTTTTGTGTGCTGTTTTACGAGGACAGCTCTGTCACGAGGCACAAGAGGTCATACTCAATCCAGACGAGACGCGGGTGGTTATAAAAAGTCCAATGGTTCAAGCAACACCTCCAGTGCTGACGGGATGCAACGACCAATCGCTCTACTTTGCGAGGTGGTATCGACTGGTAAACAGAGAGAGGATTCCAATACAAGTCAATGTCACAATATTCCCACCAGCAGCTTTGCATGTCGTTGATTCATGCAACTTGAAGAAATGTTATATGAACTCAAAAAGTGACACAAATAAAGTCGTTGTTGATCCGACAAGCGAAAAGTATTTGGTGTACTTCTCAACCATTCCCCCACCCTCGTCCACACTCCATTTATTGTCGAGACGTGTACCAAAAATTGTTGTGGCCAGTCCAGTTGTACCCACCCCACAAGCGCAAACACGGATTGGAATCACCAAAATTCCAACAAGTGTGTTTTGTGGTTTAAATTGTAAAATTCAAGTCCCATCGTTCAACCAACATATTAAAATTGGGGAGTGCCAGAATAAAATTAAACAAATATCCGCTGTTTGCGACGACGCTCAACACCCACTAACCTTTTCATTGTGTAAAAACGGATACACAATTGCGTTGTTGTCCAAGAAGAGCGGCAAATGTTCTATTTCGTTGGTTTTGGACAAAGAAACGTCTGTCAGTCTGAGGAGGTACAAAGAAGAGACAAAGACAAAAGTCACTTCGAAATACTTTGAAGAGACGATTGCGCACAACCCCGGTCAAAAAAGTGATTTCAGGAACTATTCCATAGCAGCAAGACGGGGGGAGACTGTCCGAGTTTTCGCGTTCAACGAAAAGAACCAGCCGATTGCCCCAATCTTTAACAAAGATAATACAGACCAAATGAAGTGTGGGCCAAATGGTATATGCACGATGTACAAAGCCAAAAAGAAGCACGAGAAAGTGGACGTGTGTGTGCCGACGAAGAACTGTGGGACGTCTCGAATTGTTGTGACGGTGGTGAGGGGACCTTTCAAGTTGACAAAGATTACTCAAATGCCCAGGTTTCTTCGATTCAGAAGAGAGCAAACGCCGTTTTTCAAGCAATTCTTCCCAATGAGGCAGAGGAAGACAAGAGTGCTTGGCTTTAATGACCTTGGATTTCAACTCCCAAGTTTTGCGTTGTTCCGCACATTTGACGAGATTAGAAAGAAAATGATGAGAGAGTCGTTGAGATTCGACAAGGAGTTCTCTAACTTTGAGAATGAAAGGAAAAGTATTTTTGGCGAGATTGAGGACAAAAGGCCACAAATTGCACAGGACGCTCCGAAAAGAAACGTCAAAAACATTCCAAATGAGTCGGTCAAGATTGAAAAAACGCGGAACGAGCAGGCAGTTAAGCACAACGACCAAAACGTAATAAAGAAAGTGATTGAAAACACAGACACACGTACACAAGTTTTCAATGAGTACAAAGAAGGCGAGTCGAAACAGTACATCTTTATATCGATCGGCGCGGTGGTCTTTGTGTTGGTGGTAGGTGTAGTTGTGTTTATTTTCCGTCCGACTCGGTTGTTTTCATAAAATTGAGTTTTTATTATAACGAAATTAGAAAAAATACCAATTTTGAAAAAATAAAAATCAAAACGAAAAAACACAGAGAAAGATGCAATCGCCGTCCAAAACGCCCCTTTCTCCGCCGTTTTTAAAAGATGAACAATTGGACCAGTCAACTCTGTTAGAAAAAGACAATTACTATGACCCCCATTCGCGAAGTCAATCCGTTCAATATCAAATGGTCCAAAACTGTGGTCTTCCAAGGGAATCGGACTCGATGATCACTCCGTATAATTCCTATAATATGTATCAACCACAAGAACCTAAACGTGATGACTCACAGCTGTTTTCATATATTGTCGACCCCAAAGCTCGAATGCCCCCCTCTCAAAATTGGTATATCAACCCAACTCCTCTTGACCAAAAGGTTAAACCCAAAGTTAGGTGCGTTGGCGAGGATTTTTGGCAAAAGAGGATGTCCGAGTCAGAGAAGAGAGACTTTAAGAAGAAGCCTTTCCCACCCGCTCGTATTCGAAAACTCATGAAAATCGCAACAGACAAGAAACACGTCAAAACAGAGACCGTCGAATTGCTCTCAAGAGCTTGTGAACTGTTCATTATGGATTTGACTACACGTGCAAGTGTGGTCACTTCAGAGGCAAAGCGCAAAGTCATTAAAAAGGAGGACATCGTCGAGTCAATAACCGGCGATGAACAATTCGACTTTTTGTTCGATTTGCTCCCAAAAACATAATAAATAACATTTTTCATTTCGATATCCGTTTGATTGAAATGGAAATTAGTAATGGTTCTATAACAAAATTAAATAACAAAATTAAATAACAAAAATGAATAACAAAATTAAATAACAAAAATGAATAACAAAAATGAATAACAAAAATGAATAACAAAAATGAATAACATTTTTTATAGTGTAACAAGAGAAACTCGTGCGTTTGGAGTTGTTTGCACACGAGTGGCAGCATTAGTTTTAAATATAATATTTGAAGGGTATATAGTTTCATTGAAAAAGATGTCAGTGATTGAATACCGAGTAAGGTCGATGGTGACATTTCTAGAAGATATAGTTTTGTTTTCTTCATAAAAAGCAATTTTGGATGGGAAGTACCGTTGTATAAAAAGAAGAAAA